TTTCACTCAATTCTCTATATATTTGAGATATGAGAAACTGGCTATACTTTTCCCCCCAATTTCTTGTTTTCCTTCAAATCTTGTCTACAATGGTTTTATTTGTACAAAACCTTTTTAATTTAATGTAATCAAAAATATCTATTTTATATCACACACTGCTCTTTATCTCTTATTTATTCATAAATTCTTCTCCTATCTATAAATCTGATAGGTAATATGTTCCATGTTGTTCTAATTTACTTATGATCTCTCCCTTTATGTCTAGGTAATGCAGCCATTTTGACCTTATCTTGGTAAACGGTGTAAGATAATGGTCTAAACCTAGTTTCTGCCAGACTGCTTTCCAGTTTTCCCAGCAATTTTTACCAAATTCTGAGTTCTTATCCCAAAAGCTAAGAGTTATACATTTATCAAATACTAGGTTACTATAGTCATTTACTAGCGTGTATTGTATACCTACTCTATTTTACTGATCCACCATTCTATTTCTTTGCTAGTGATAATTTTGATAATTACCCCTTTATACGATAGTTTAAGATCTGGTACTGCTAGACCTCCTTCCTTTACACTTTTTTTTCATTAATTCCTTTGATATTTTTGGTTCTAGCTCAATAAAATAATTTTTTGGTTGTTTAATTGGGATGTCACTGAATAAGTAGATTAGTCATTTTTATTATATTAGCTCAGCCCACCCATAAACAATTAATATTCTTCTAATTATTTAAATCTGAGGGGGCAGCTAGGTGGCGCAGTGGATAGAACACTGGCCCTGAAGTCAGGAGGACCTGAGTTCAAATCTGACCTCTGACCAAACACTTGACACTTACTAGCTGTGTGACCCTGGGCAAGTCACTTAACCCCAATTGCCTTTAAAAAAAAATTTTTTTAAATAAATAAATCTGACTTTATTTGTATTAAAAATGTTTTGTAACTATGTTTATATGGTTCCTGGATTTGTCTTGGCTGGTATACTCCTCGGTATTTTATATTATCTATGATTATTTTAAGTAAAATATCTCTTACTATCTCTTCTTTCAGGGCTTTGTTGTTGATATATAGAAATGCTGATTATTTATGTGGGTTTATTTTATATACTGTTACTTTGTTAAAATTATTGTTTCAACTAATTTTTTAGTTGATTCTCTAAGATTTTCCAAGTATATCATTATATTATCTGTAAAAAGAGATAGTTTTATTTCCTCATTGCCCATTCCAATTACTTCAATTTCTTTTTCTTCTCTTATTATTATTGCTAGCATTTCTAGTACAATATTGAAGAATAGCAATGATAATGTGCATCCTTGCTTCACTCCTTTGGGAAGGCTTCTAGCTTAATCTCATTACAGATAATGGTTGCTGGTGGTTTTTGGAAGATATTTCTTATCATTTTAAGAAAAAGTCCATTTATACCGATGCTTTCAAGTGTTTTTTAATAGGAACGAGTGTTGTATTTTGTCAAAAGCTTTTCCTGCATCTGTTGATATAATCATATGATTTTTTGTTGATTTTGTTATTGATATTATCAATTATGTTAATAGTTTTCCTTATATTGAACCAGCCCTGCATTCCTGGTATAAATCCCACTTGGTCACAATGTATAATCTTTGTGCTATATTGCTGTAATTTCCCAGCTAGCATTTTATTTAGGATTTGTGCATCAATATTCATTAGTGAAAATAGTTTCTAATTTTCTTTATCTGTTTTTGCTCTTCCTGGTTTAGGTATCAGCACCATACTTGTTTCATAAAAGGAGTTTGGTAGGACTCCTTTGCCTATTATTCCAAATAGTTTATTTAATATTGGAATTAGTTGATCTATAAATGTTTGGTAGAATTCACTTATAAATCCATCTGGTCCTGATGCTTTTTTCTTAGGCAGCTCATTTGTGGCCTGTTCAATTTTTTTTTCCTAAAATAGGTTTATTTGGATATTTTATTTCCTCTACTGTTAATCTGGGCAATTTACATCTTTGTAAGTATTCTTCCATTTCACTTAGATTTTGAAATTTATTGGCATGTAATTGAGCAAAATAGCTCCTACTAATTGCTTACATTTCAGCTTCATTAGTGCTGTATTCTCCCTTTTCATTTTTGATAACAAGTGATTTGGTTTTCTCCTCTATTTTTTTAAAACCATATTAACTAGTGGTTTATCTAGTTTTGTTTTAGGTTTTTTTCCCCCCATAAAATCAGTTCTTAGTTTTATATGAGTGCATTTTCTAGATTTGTTTGGAGAAGTTTTGGGGAGGAGAAGGCAGGTATTTTGCTCTCCTTCTTATTTCTACTCTGACATCTTGGCTCTGTCTCTCTAATTTATGTTGTGATTTTTTTTATATCTAAGTCAGGGGTGGGGAACCAGTGGTCTCGAGACCACATGTGGCCCCGAGACCACATGTGGCCCTCTAGGTCTTCAAGTGTGGCCCTTTGACTGAATCTAAACCTCACCGAACAAATCCCCTTAATAAAAGGATTTGTTCTGTGAAACTTGGACTCAGTCAAAAAGTCACACCTGAGGACCTAGAGGGCCACATGTGGCCTCAAGGCCGCAGGTTCCTCACCCCTGATCTAAGTCATGTGGTACTTATCTTGGTGCAAGGTATGAAGTGTTGGCCTAAACCTAACTTCTCCCAGATTGCTTTCTATCTTCTCCAGCAGTTTGGGGTTTTGTTTTTGTCTTTTTGTTATTTTTTTTTTGGTAGAGGTCAAATACTGAGTTCTTATCCCAATATATGGAGTATAAGGTTACTCTGGTAGTCTCAAGTCAAGTCAAAACAACAAGCATATATTATGTGCCAGGCACTGTGCTAAACCCTGGGTATACACAGAAAGGCAAAGACAGTCCTTGATCTCTAGGAGCTAACAATATAATCGGGGGGCGGGGGGGGGGGGGATGGAGACAAGATTCAAACTGTTGTGTATGAACAAGGGCTAGATAAGTTAAATTCGTAATGATCTCAGGGCTAAGGCGCTGGCATTAATGGGTGCTGGGAAAGACTTCAAGAAGGTAAGATTTTAGTTGAGACTTAAAGGAAGCCAGCAGGCAGAGATGAGGAGGGAGAGGATTCCAGGTTTGGGGGACAACCCATGAAGATGCCCAGAGTTGGGAGATGGAATGTCTTGCCCAGGCCACAGTAAGAAGGCTAAAGTCACTGAATCACTAGAGTCCCTGGAGTGAGGTGTAAAAAGACTGGGAAGGAGGGAGGGGCCAGGTTATGAAGGACTATAACAGCCAGAGGATTTTATATTTGATCTTGCAAGTAATAGGAAGCCAGCGGAGTTTACTGAAAGGGGATGGGGGAAGTAACATGGATGGGGTCCCAACTGAAAAAAACGACTGAATAACAAAAAAGATCACTTTGATAGGTAAGTGGAAGATGGGGTGGGGAGAAACATGAGGCCAGACCAAGCAGAAAGTTATTGCAATAGTCCAGGCATGAGGTGACAGGGCCTGGACCAGGGTGGTGCCGTGTAAGAGAGAAGGGGACGTATCGAGAGCTACTGCAAAGGTAGAACTTTAGACAGGACTTGGCTATGGGGTGAGTTGACACCCAGGTTTTGAGCCTGGATGATTGGGAGGACGGTGGTACCCTGGTGACCAGGAAGTTAGGGTAAGGGTAAGGGTAAGGTAGTTAATTAGTTATGGGGTTAGTGCCCTATGAGTTAGGGTTAAGGTTAGACTTCTATGGGACTTCCAGTTCAATATGTATCTAATCTGTCACTGATCAACCTTTTTTAATTAGTACCAAACCTTTTTGATTACTGTTCTGTAGTAGCTTGAGATCAGTTATTGCTGAGTCCCCTTCATTATTCCCCTTGTGTTTCTTGGCCTTTTGTTCTTCCAGATTTTTTCCTAACCCTAGTTTCACATTTCTTGGCCTTTTGTTCTTCCAGATTAATTTTTCCCTAATCCTAGTTTAACAAAATGGCAGTTTGTTACCGTTCCTGAGAAAACAGTCACTACCCCCATGAACCAATTACTATTTCTCCACTTGTCTTTATTCCTTGGGAATCCACCTGGAGACCCAGGAACTGAATGAATGAACTACCAGTTTATTCATTTTATACATCCTGTGTTTACTTTCGAATTTCTTCATGCTGGGTTGTTTGCAATAAACAGAAATGTTAATAATTTATGATCTTGAGTATCCTACAATTTTATAGATTACTAATTCCTTATTTATTCCAGTTTTCTAGCTTTTAATGGAAATGGACATTGTATTTTATCCAAGTCTTTTTGAAGACATGGTTAGTGACCATGGTTTTTATTTATTACCCGATGTAGGTAAGCAGACAATGCTAAGCATTCTTTAGATAGAAAACCCTTATCTTCTGCTTCTCCTGGTTTCCTCCCCCTTGCCCTGGTGCCGCAAAGTAGTCACACATAACAAATCTTTTTTTTTTTTTTTGTAGAAGCCCTTTATTAGCAGAATTGCATCTTCAGAAAATTGTGAAGCCATTCACCTGGACCAGGTCTAGTTCCTAACAAAGGTTGGGCTTTCCCAAACACACAAATAACCGACAACTTGGAAGTTGCCAACACTTAATTACCACCTCCCAACAAGGAACCAAGACGGCTTATTGTATGAAATAAGCAGGGGGTCAACAGGTTACTTCTCTGACTGTGAGTTTGATAAATGAGCACAGTCAGCTGCGCATAATCTGGCTGAGACAGCTCCTGATTAGCAGCACTGGAGGCTTACACTGAAGGCTTGCAAATCTTAGATCCCCACAACAACCCTGTGAGGTAGGTGCTCTCTTATAACTCCTTAGAACACAAAACAAAACACAGAGAGGTTATTGTGAAGGCTTGTTCAAGGCAGGGCTTGAGCTTAGTTCTTCTTCTTGACAGGAGTAACTTTGTTTCATTATGATCTCTGCCTCTTAAGCATAACCTCAAACATACAAATGCTACACAGAGATGCAGATAACAGTAATTTAAACTATATCACAATACACTGTATCAGAACACATGGATGCAATTATGAAAACATTTAGGGGCAAGACAAATTTAACAGTTTCTTGGTTTTTTTTTTTTTTTTTGATGTCTGCATCTTGGCAGACAGCTTCTGAAATAGGAGGGCAGTAGTGGTAATTTACTTCTTATTGGGAGCAATGAGGCGACTGAGTGATTGATTGATGGATGGATGGATGAATGGATGGATTGATGGATGCCATGGTAAGGGGGGGAGGTGGTCTTGGTGTAGAATGTCTTTCATTTCTCTGGCCATTCTTTATAACCCGAGCTTGGTTCTTCTCCAGTGTCTCCTTTTTGAGTTGTACCTAGATGAGGAGAAAAAGGAAGAGAACAAAAGGCCAAGTTACTCAATAACTGCTTTCATAATGAACTTTCAATTCAAGCCAACATCTTCATGGAGGAAATACCACTTGGGTTGTTTTAATATTCCCATCATTTCTTTTTAATTATTCCTGCAAAATTACCCTGAGGGGATGAATCATTTAAATAAAAACCTTCCCCCGTTTAAGTCTGGAGAATGGACTGATTGATATTTACCATTAATCAGGAGGGGCAGCTGGTCTTACCTGATCTTATTTCCAGTTTTCATTCGAATCCATTGAGGGATGGGACGATTCTGCTTCTGTTTCTTGGCCAGGAACCTCTTGATTCTGAATGTTTTATGAGAGGACTAACAAGGAAAAACATTGTTTAAAATGATTCGAAGCCAATCCTTTTTCTATTCAGAGGGAAGGTGAGGGACCGCCCATTTGGTCCCATTCACAATACTGCAGAGCAATTCTGTATTCTGTAGCCTCTGCAGAATCGGGGGCGGGACAAGATGGCTGCAGACATGCTGACGTCACAACCAACTGTCAAGCCATTTTCTTTTTTCCCTTTTTCTTTTCTTTCTTTCTTTTTTTTTTTTTGCCAAGTCATTTTAAAAACCTAATCCAAGTCATACGATTAAAAACCCGGAAATGGACCTTAGCTAAGTAAACTGCGGCAAAAGTAAAATGAAATGACTAGAGTTAGAGTACCTTTTAATTAGATGGGAAGAACATCTAATCCAATCCCCTTATTTTACAGATGAGGAAATTGACTTGCCCGAGATTACATAGACATGGCATTTAAGGAGCCAGATCCTCTGCCTCTGATTCTAGGACTAATGCCCTTTTCGCTACGCCGCGGTGCCGTCCTTTTAATCAGCAGTGAAAAGAGGCTAAGGGCTTTTTTTTGTTGTTTGTTTGCCTGCCTGCCAAAGGGGAAAGGATCCCACCCTGTTTTCGAGGTTTAAAATTACTACCCACGGTCCCTCTCAGCTCTAAATCTACGTTCTTTTTACGCTCACTACCTCAAAGTCATAGCAATGTCATCCAAGGGACCATGGGAGGGACCTCTTTCTTTTCCTAATACAATTCTTCCTCCCTTGGGGGGGGGGGTCCAAGCGGCTCGGCTTAAGGCTTCGGCGTCCCTCGGGGATCCCCTCTGTGCCTTCTCCTAACTCCCAGCTGTTCTAGGTGGAGCCTAGAGAACCCTCCCTCCCTGATCGGGAACCTGGTTTCGAAGCTGGGGAGTAGGGAGGTAAAGGCAACCTCCATCTACGCAGCACCAAAGATGCTCGACTCCCCTTCGAAAGCTTCCTAGAAGCTTCCCTGAATGCCCCTCGTTGCTGCTTCGCTGCCCCCGGGGCCCTTGGAGCAGCGGCTGGGGGGGGATGGCTGCGGATTCTCTTACCATGACGATGAGATGACAGCCGAGCTTCCACCACGATGGCTGGACGGGCGAAAAAGGGAGAAAGACTGGCGGAAGCTCGCTATTAGAAGCTCTGCAGAGGGCGGAGCTTGGAGGAACTGCGCCTGCGCATTGGCGATAGGCTGCGCCCTCTGCAGGTTCCCAGAGGGCACTGCGGCGCAGGAAAAGCGGCTTGTCTTGAGTCTCACTGCAGCCATCAGCCCACGGATACCCAGACTCCGCCTCCCGTATTGCGGCTTTTTGGAGGTGACATCATCTTGTTCTTGTTTTTCTGCTTAGAGACTCTTTGCTGCAGTGCAGAGTTTTACCAGCCTTTTTTTTTTTTTTTTACCGCAGCCCACACTCCATTGTTTCCATTCTTTTTCTCAAAAAATAATTTTTATTGATATTTTTGGTTTTCTATCCTTTATTTCCCCCTGTATCCTTTCCCCCTCCCCCTTCCCAGAATATCTCTTATAACAAAGAATGTTTTGAAAATAGAAAAAGAGAGGAAAAAAATCAGTAAAATTGATCAATCGAAAAAATCTGATTATGTGTGATGTACCACACCCATGGACAAGCTCCCCCCCAATCTTTGCAAAGGATGTACCCCTACCCTGTTTTCCAGGGAAGTTGTTTTATTTAATATGAAAGGAAATACATTCTAGAGCTTACTATACATATTCACAGAAATAAAGTAAAAGAGAAATTACTTTTTCTTTTCCAAGGGCATATACCAACATTTTATAATTTCACTGGTTTGGAAATCACGTTTCTGGAATATTTCCATAGGAAAATATAGTTATTAACCAAATCTTCACCCAGACCTCTTGATAAATTTGGGGAGGGGGTGGTATTCTAGCCTTTGTAGTTGTTAGAATGCTGCATTTGGATTCAAGACCAAATCCTGTCTCAGGCACTTCCTGTGTGACCCTGGGGAGTCATGTACTCTCTCTGGGCCTCAGTTCCTTCATCTATAAAAAGACAATAATGCCTGCAGCATTACCTGAAAAGAGGGGCAAATGAAATGACATAAAAATGATAATGTTGCTGTTATTATTCATCAGGATCTTCTGTTGAATTGAAGTTGATCCTTTGAGGCTGCACCACGGCTTCTAAGTAACCAGTATCTATTTGGTGGCACAGGGGCTGAGAAATTTTCCTATACCCTAAAATTGTGATAGACCCTCCGTTAGGACCCAGGGGCACCACGCCCCGGGGCCTCTGGCTCCGCTTCCCCTAACGGCTGTTACAACACCCTGGGTGAAATCCTCAAGGGTGGGGTGCAACATCCTGCTCTGTAAATAACCTGACCTGTCTTCCCGGCACTCCCCCCAGACCCTGTTCCCTTCCCGGCACTCCCCCCAGACCCTGTTCCCTTCCCGGCACTTCCCCCAGACCCTGTTCCCTTCCCGGC